GGACATGTGTGTTTCGGCGTCTGGCCGCAGCGGGGTGCCCGTTGTATGAGTATTGTCTGTCGCTCTAACTTTTACCTTTCGGTGGCCGTAGGGTGCCTTCATGTGCGCTTTGCTTAGGGTGGAGACATCTGGCCATTTTGTCCCACACTTTTATTTTTATTTTTTGTTCAGAAGCGCGTGAAAGAGCGTGCTTCTGCACGCGTTGGTGGCGCCGACTGCGCTACAGCGACATTTTGTTTTCGTCGATTTCTTTGTATTTTAACCGTGAGCGCGTGCTGTCGGCATCGGGTATTACAAAGGGTGGCATCACCCTAAACAGAAGAACATTGAGGCACCCTAGGTGGCCGCATCTCGTGGCGATCTGCCAGGCTTTGTCGGTATAGAGGAGGCCATGCCAATGCACACTGCCCGCACTCTCTCAAAAAAAAAAACAAGAAAAAAACAACAAGTCGCCTATAGGGTGTATTCACTGGCGGCCATATCTGTGTGCGCTCATGCTGAGCACGTGCTGATGGCGAGCTTCCACAGTTATTTTACAACGTGCACCCCGCACCATCAAGATTGTCGGTCTTGGCAGCCTATTAATGCGAGCTCGTTCTGAGCATGCGCTCTAAACAGTGACCTCAAATATGGCGGCCAGTGAATACCGCCTATAAAAAGTTGGCGTCGTAGCACAGTCAATGCCAAGAGCTCGTGTCAAAAGACGTGTTTTCACGCGCTCCAAAAAAAAAAAAGAAACAAAAGCTTTTGGAACGAAATGGAACACAAAAACGTTCGAAACCAAACAGATGTCTATTTAGTTCCGAACGCTTTTGTTCAGGTGCCCCACTGCTTCACGGTGCGTGAACGCGACGTCGATGCTCGACTTCGCCGTGACGCGTCGCAGCTTACGCTGTGACTGTACCATAGACCGTTTTACTGAAACAGGGCAAGAGAGAAGGGGGTTGGTAACATATTGGACATGTCAGTTCGTCCCTTGAAGGAGGAAGTACTACTCTCTTTTTCTTTCTTTTGTTTAGAGTGTGGGCCATTAGTCAAGCCACCGTTGGCCATCCTTCACTCCTCTGTTGTCATGCACCCTGTGACAACCGATAAAAGTGAACCGAAGTGATTACTTTTATTTCACTGAAATGGTGAGAGCCCCGCGAGATAATGCAGCGGTGCTTCCCGCAATATGAATGTTCATTTCTTTGTTCATTCGCTCACTGCTAAATATTTCACTCCCTGATAGGGAAAATTTTCAACAATATTAAGAAGCCACGTCACCCGGTGTTTTTCACCTGATTTTCGGGAACTAAAAAAAATACAAATTCAGTTCTTTTTTTTTTTTTTTTTTGTTAAGAGTATAGTGAAACCTCATGTGAGTGGCTTGCGCCGGCGTGATTTCGCCCTCTATGCTGGCACGTATATGCTGCGAGTGATCATATCCTCTGTAATACATTTCACGCTCAAGAACTGGTTGATTTCGTGGAATCAACCAGTTCCGGGACAGTATACATTTCTGTCTCATTTAAAGATGAAACATCATATTGTTTTATAATTATAATTTACTGAAAACAAATAAACTTCTGGAGAACTACGAAGCTCCACAAAAATAAAACTGATGATAATCTTTTTTTTTTTTTTTTTTTTTTCACGAAAGCAAAATTGAAAGGAATAAAATTGTTTGGTCGGAAACTCGACATATCTTAAAGAGACTATGATTATTGAAGAGTACGTTTTATCATCACTTAAAATTCATAATGGTACACTTCACTCGCTACGGTGCAGAGATTTTAAGATTAACAGGTAACATTCATTCGTTAGGCTCCAAGCAAGAGAACAAAAAATGTGCTGCCGCCTTGGTTTTACCCGGATGATTCGGCGCTATAATGTATTCATAATTATGCGGAACGTTTTTGGAGAATTATCGCATTTCCTTCGTACGGCTGTAGAAGAGGATGGCGGAAAGGCACAGTTGAAAGGAAGAGCTCGTTCTTGAAGCGCCAGTGTTCCTTCCGATTCAATCTCTCGAAGCTGGGACACTCTGCTGAGACCCGGGCACCAAACCGCACCGATCAATATTTTCTCTTATCAGCGGCCGGCAAGGAAGCACTGCTGTGTATTCAGGCGCGATTAGCCGCTACAAGACTTACGCTAATCTGAATGAGCACATAATTGGGGCAGCGTGAAACCGTTTTCAGAGCCCTATAGATATATAAATATATATATAAGCGTGTTTTTTCTTACAGTGAAAATTTTTTAGCTATAGTCATAGAGAGCCTAAAAAACACAGACTGTAGCTTGTTAAGTTGACGCTTCGCCCCACCCCTGCCCGTTTCGATCTGGATGAGCATCGTACCGGCGTGCGGTCGTGTATCACTACTGCGTGATGCACGTTAAAGACCCCAGGCTAGCGGCTGTACCGCACTGGCTAAATTCCTCATCTACAGCTGGGAGACTCGTCGCCCCTGTGAGGCAGACCAAGTTCTAGGCTGTATAAACACACACACAACCCAATTATTATTAGTTGACGCTTCTTGCTTCGCGATCGGCTCTTGAGCGTTTTATTTTCCGCTTAATGCCACAATCCCATTGGCTCGGGAGCGGAAATACGATGCTCATTAATAGTTCTGTGTTTTTTAAGCTGTCCGCGACAATAATATGTAAGGTTCTCCTCTTTAAACTTAACAAACTTCTGAAAAAATGGGGCGGCTCAAGGAGCTTGCTCCGAGAATTAACCTGAACGTTACCTCGACTACAGGTGTCTCTGATCCGACCAATACCGGAGTCAGAACCTCCGGGCTGGCTCACGTCATGAAACCCCGTTGGGCAACTGGGTCAGTTGCGCCCTTGTCGGCTACCCTCGTCCTTGACATGTAGCTTAGCACGGCCAGGCGTAGAGCGTCGGTCGCGTAGAAGACAGGTGGCGTTATGTCCGGACCAGGGGGTTTGGCGTATGTACTCCCCGAAAACATAACGTAATTTTTAATTGGTAATAACATAACATAACATAACATAACAAAATTATGTTATGTCTTAGGGGGGTACATACGTATTATTTTATTGAAAATGAAAGTCAAAGCCGTTTGCAACTCCCGGTAACGCCAAATTAGAGCGCAGCTCTTGAGGAGGAGGGAGAAGGTACTGAAGGGAGGGTATACCCCTCCTCCTCCTCGTTCTCTTCCTCCTCCCCTCATTCTTCAATCTGCTCCGGGGGGGTTACGGGACCTGGGGGGTCACGTGACCTCGGCGGAGGGGTGGTCATGTGACCGTGGGGGGAGGCGTCACGTGACCTCGGGGGGGGGGGGGGGGGGGTCACGTGACCTAGCAGTTACGCCGACGGCGACGCCGACGCCGCTCAAGCCGGAAACGGGCCCCTAAGAGCTGTGCTCTAAAAAAACAAACAAAAAACAACAAACAAACGTGGAAGATATGTTTATGCGGCTCATGCATGGGAAGTTTTACGGCCAGAGGGGCATGATATGGGAGCCTAATCCTCACGATAAGTAGAATAATCACCTGAAATGTGTTAATGCACTTTTTTAATTAGTGGTGCCATTTATAAACTTGCAGAGCGCCACCGAAAACCACTAACGCGGATGGTAGGAGACTAAAATACCGCGCGGATGCGTTACCCACCGGTAGCGTTGAACACGCTGCATGAGTAGTAACTTCAGCGCTACACCGTGCTACCCGCGTGCTCCAAATATTTCTAATATTGACTGATTTAGTGGTTTTCGATGGCGCTCAGCAAATTTCTATGACCGAACCATATGTTTATGTTCAATAAGTAAAAACTTAATTACCATATTTTATCCTAATCAACAGAACAGCGCGTAAGAAGTCAAGAACAGAGAAAAGGCATATGCACGACACACAAGCGCTGACTCGCAACTTAATTTATTCACTAAGGGAAGAGGAGAACGTGCTGAAAGTCATGCAGTACCAGAACGCGTCGTACACGACACGAGGTCATCTTAGCTGTCTTTGCCCCATAGTCCGATCTAAAAATGAAGTTTCTGTTTGAGGAAATGCAGCAGTTTCCCAAGCTATTAATGCAATGCGCTTCCAAAATTTCGCGACCTGCCCCACTTATCATACTTCTACAGTAACATATTTTAGTTAACTAACCGACTGGCCATTACGATTAAACCCCTTTACTATGTCCCTCTGGCCGTATAACTCACCCGCACAGACCGCATTAGGGTGGTTTTCGATGTGTTTCTTCAAAACAAATCTATTAGGCTTCAAAATATACACCCCGTATGCACGAGGGCGTAAGGGTAAAGTTCCTTGATTTCGGTAAATGCCAGTAAACACCGAAAATTAACCTCCAAGCCGGTTTGATAAAAATCGGGGAATCCCGAAAACCTCCAAATGCAGGCTGCCCTTACTGCGCTACACTTTTGTTTTCTGCTGACCTGGAACGCGACTAGCACTGAACCAGACCTGTACGTAACGCATTACAAGTAACGTATTACTTGTACCTAGTTATTATTTTCAGTAACGAGTAAAGGCCCGTTCACACTCTTGCGACCTACTTCGACCGAGTGCACTAAAACTTCTTGAAACCTCTTACAACCTCTTAGGACAACGGTTGCTATAGCAACCACTGCGTTTTGCTACGACCAGCTAAACATTTTGTTCACGTCGTACGTAGTCGCGTCGTACGTAGTCGCGTCGACAACCAATAGCAGAACGCTAAAAGGGCTCGGCTTCAGCCACTAGCAATCGACATAGTCAGGCAACACTGGATGATGCTACGGTGCTCGCTTCTCGTCCCAACATGGCTGCTCCGGCGAGTAGCTCACCCCTGGCCCCGATCCCGCCGGACTGGCCCGATTCCGGCAGCAGTGATGTGCTGCGGACACTGTTCCTGCAGTGTGTTGATGCATATGTAGCGGAGTCAGGGAACGACGTGGACTGGCTACTTGTGGCACGAGCGTCCGCAGCGATGCGCCTGCGTTCCCGACGGAGGGAGCCACGCGAGTGGATTCGCTTTCTGCTCCGGTCCCGGGCAACGCACGGTGAATTTTACCAGCTTGTCCGGGACATGCGCCTCGACGACGGAAGCGACTTCTTCCGATACTTCCGCATGACGCCGCAAAGGTGGGTACTTAACTCTCATTGAACATAAACAGTCACAAAAAAGATACGTTTGGATGTTTGATCGTCTCGGTGGCTCTGAGGCAAAGGGCCGCACTTTGCTTATGATTCGCCAGTTGGCGGGTTCGAATTCCGCCCGCGGTGCCCGCTGTGTAATCGAGAAAGAAAGTGCTCGAAATTGTTTCATGACTGGGGCGTGCCATGTAATCTACTGTAAAATAGTTTGTCGTTGGGCGAGTTGGTGAACGTGCGCTCGTGTTTGTTTCTCTCTCTTGCGTCCGTCTTTTTTTTGCGCAAAACCATGTATCCAAACATGTAATCTAATTCGTTGATTTGGTTCGTAAAACACCCGAGTTTTACCTTTTTCGACCATGTGCAATTACTTCACTATGGCTGGGTTACGTTCATGTAACCAGTTTTTGTTCGATCACTTTTGAAGAAAAGATTGAGAAAAAAACAACATTGGCAGGTCATTTTTGGTCACTTTCAGTAGACTCCTGTCAGCTGTGTTCGACAAATTCTAAAGTGCACAAGTTTGTCTGCTTTGATTTCATTGTACCGAGAGGACAAGACCAAATTACAAAATAGTGTTTTACAGGCTGTTCCTGCAATTGTTAATTTCAGTGGCTCACTTCTTAAGAGTAGCTTCCCACAGTATTGAACAAATTGCTTTTGAGTACAAACATTAATAACCACTTTGTCTACAGATTTGACCACCTGCTCTCCTTGGTGGGGCCTCTTCTGCAGAAAAAGGCGACTTTCTTCAGGGAGCCCATAAGCCCTGCAGAACGTTTGTCGTTCACAATCCGGTAAGTTGAAGAACCTCTCAAATAACCTTGCCATAAGCCAACATAAAAAAGTGTACATGTATGGGAATTCCGAGGCAGTCCTATTTATTTAGCCAAAGTAAAGCAGCTATTATACATCCTATATCTCTCGCAGCATTCCAGTGCATATACATGCCTTGCACTTACGTCATTAAAACTGCATGCTGGAGGGCCGTCGCCATTATGCTGTACCAAATCGTCATCGCTGCATAGGAAGTTCCCTGCAGTTGCCGTCAGTTTGCCTCGCTGAGCGAAGGTTTTGCTACGTAGAATGTTTGCATGTGGTTATTAATTGTGCAAACAGGACTAAGAGCAACAATCGTCGTGATCGTAACACCGTCAGGGATGCGAGATTTTTTAAACTATCGAAGGTGATCTTCGCTCAGTGTCGGCGGACACAGGAACTGTCATAGAAGCGAAGGAGCATGTGGTTTGCGGAGATTAACAGGGCCGACTTGGTCACAAACGGGAACACACAGGTGTGCAGCGAGCACTTTGTTACAGATAAGAAATGCTTCTTGCCGTTCTCCGTTTTCAGGACGCGTTCACCCGGTTGCTGTCGCAAGAATGTAAAACTCGGCGCAGCATTGTCTGCTGCGCCGAGTTTCGCGAACGTGAGTGCGTCAGCGAATGGCGTTTTTTCTTTGTTTTACAGGACCTCCTTCTAAGTTGTTCGATGACACGAATCCTGACTGGGCGCCGAGTTTGAAGCTCGGTTACACGGACGAAGGAGATTGCTCAGCCTCGAGTCGCAGTGCTCGAGGCTCAGCGAGTTACGTTAGGGAAAAAGGCGGTGTGGAATGTCGTGTCCACGCCGATGTGAAGTTCGTAGGGATCCTCGCCTTCGCAAAGTTCCAACTTCTTCGCTCATCTCGCTCTCGTAGGCCCAACGAGCTCGTCGAAGTAATCTCCGCAGAGCGGCAACATCCGCTCCTCCGGCGACGGCATATTTAGCCCGTAGGCGCTGGTAAAAATAGATTAAAACTTTTTGTTTATAAATTGTGCGAAAAACAACAAACACACACACAGAAAAAAAAAAAAACTCTATGCTCTCAAACTGCGTAAACACGTCACGGTCGGGCGAAACACGCCGTCGACTACGCTTTGTAGGTTCTCCGGTCCCCCGGTGGTACGGAGCAATTGCGATGAGGGCGGGGCATCGCGGCGTGACGTCAGGCGCAAGGCATGTATAAGCGCTCTGGGTATGCCTTCATGACATTCAGTTATCCACGGTCTGTGTACTGAAATGTCTAATCGCTACCTCGCTGACTCCGAGGCAAAGCACCGGCTATGGATGCCCAGGTGACGGGTTCGTATCTTAGTTCAGGTGCCCGTAATCTGACAGAGGCTTATTGCGGAGAGCGTGCCGTGTAATTGAGCTTTCGGTTGAACGTCAAAAGATCCCCAGGTGGTCCAAATTAATCCTCAGTGCTCTGCTGGGGCGTGCCAGGTGCCCGTCGTTGGTGTGACACGTAAAACCCCGAGACTTTTTTTTTTAAGTGACTAATGCCATGCAAAATGCCTGACAAAGAGAGAAAAGACAGTGTGCCAAGGAAGTGAGGGAAAGGAGGAGACGAGGGCGTGCAGGGACTTCAAAACGCAGAGCTCTCATTGAAACGATTAGTGGGTAGACTGAAAGCTAGCAACCGTTGTCTGCACTGCACTCATCAAACACGTTCGAACGCCGTTGGCTTTCGCATTCGAACACACGAGTGCAGTGGAGATAAACGCGGCCTTTGTATCCGCTGCAGTGTCGAACGCGTGAAAACGTGGAACGCAGGCGTCTGGTGTTTGGCTCTTGCATTCGAAAGGGTTCGACTAGTGCAGTGGAGACAAGGGCAGCCTTTGTCTCCACTGCACTCGTCGAGCGCTTTAAAAGGTGGAACGCAAGCGTCTGGCATTTTGCTGTCACATTCGAGTGGGTTCGATGAGTGCAATAAGACAATGGCTGCTAGCTCTCAGCAACCCACTAATCGTTCCAATCAGCGCTTGGCGTGCAAGGCCATCTTGAAACTTTTCCGTGAGGAGACTCCTAGTGTGGGGGATCAGTGGCCGAATGTGTTAATGCACCATGACTCCAAGCAGGTAGAGCAAAAGGTCCATGCTGAGGGATCCAGGGAGCCTGGCCTAAATCCCCATGCCTACCCGTTTCAATTTGAATGAGCATCGCATTGGTGTTTGCTCGTGTCACCACTGCACGGTGTATGTTACGGCTAGCATTTATACTACACTGGCTTAATTTATTTGCAATATAAAAAAGGTTCCATGTTTTCAGAGTTCTTGTTTTTCAAATTGGGGGTGTATTTTTGGGGTTTATTGTCCCCACGGATTGGTTGTTTTTCAACGACAATGTTGAATAGATATGCACGCAACCCGAATACTTGAAAACTTCCAAGGACCAAAATTGAAGGAAATGGAATAAGGTCTGTGGTTCCTGAGAAAGAAGCAGGCAGTTTACTAATAGCCCTCTTCTGGATCAGCACAAAATAAAGCTGTACATAATAAGTTTGTTCCCGTGAAGCTTGGGCTCTTGTAATTCAAGGACAGCTCGAAATCAGTTTTTCAGTTTTCCCAGATTTTGACAAAACTGACTTGGGTTTATTTTTCAAGGTTTTATTGGTATTTACTGAAAGCATGGAACCCTGATTGTAACCTACTGTCATCAGATTTCAAAGGTAGAACATCCTTTAACTGTCTACATACAAACATCTCATTTACATTATTTTGAGCCCCACTCATCTTTTATATCACTCTTTTTGTTCTCTGTTGCTCCAAGCATTGACTGTTTCTGTTGCTTGTCTAATAGCCCATGTATCATTGTGACCCACAACTTTAACATTTTAGGTGCCTGGCTCATGGGTCTTCTCAGCAGCTGGCATCCATGTGCTACAGGATCGGACGATCGACAGCAAGCAACATCCTACGGGAGACGTGCTGGGCACTGCACCATGTACTGGACCCATTGTACCGCCCGGTGAGTATGTCAGTGTTGCTGTTATGTCCGGACCTAACGTCACACAGCGTCGGCTCATTCAGTTCAGTTTCCAGCCGAGGCGGGCTGTTCATCCATGTAGAACATAACCGCACTTTGCTGATGAGTGTGCAGGCTGCTCCGAAGTCAACCTTGAAATTCAAGCACCTGTTGTCAACTGATACGTCCGCTGTGAAGTTGAGCACATTGGTAGTATTTGCGCGGTGTTCAGCTCGTACAGTGTTGACGTAGCCAGTGAGGGAGGGTGCATGACAATTCTGGCACACTTGTCTGCACCTGGTGCTGTTATAGATTGATGCTGTGATTTATGTGCGAATGTTTCGTATCCTTCCGCTTCTTGATGCATGCCTTGACAATGTGTCTGCATTTCTTGCAATAGTTGCAACATGCTGCCTGAAATTTGTAAGTGTCTGGAGTGTGCTGCGCATTGCATCGCCAGCAGTGCTGAGCGTTCTAATATAGTTTGTCTGGTTATTTGAGCGATCCTGGTTCTGCATTTTGTAGCCACTTGTACTTCGTTGTGCACTTCCTTGAATTCAGCTTGCCTCTTTTTCTAGCCTTCCCGCGGCATTCTCTGCTCGCAGGGCAAAGTTGTAGCCAAGTACGAGCTGCCATTACTGCCCTATTTCTGTTTCCCAGAAATGCTGACCACTGGCACTTTTGATGACAAGGAGCGAACCCACAAAAAGCCTCCATTAGTGACAGAAGCACAATGGTGTTTATGCTCCATCGTACAAGTTATGTGCTGCACTACACTTCCTCCACCCCTAAGCTGGCAGTATGGTGGTAGCTACATGCTTGCCAGAAAAATCAACCGCCACCCTTTCGTCTTCTGACCGCTATTTCTGCTCGTAGCCACAGAAGGGAGCATGATCATGTGACAAAAGGTAGACACACGACTAGTCGATTGAGCAGGTAGCTTCTAGTGCCTGGTCAACTTAGGAGTTAAAGAAGGAAATCAAAGACACAGGCTAGGTTTTGCTAATTAACCATTTATACAGAAACTTCAATTCCCTGTGCAGCAAAAGCCCTATCTTAAGCCGATATCTCATAGCTGTGATCTTAATGCTTCACAAAACTCTTGAAGATGCAACAAACACAGACAACAACCTCTTGTGCAACCACAGTGATGAAGTGAAGTGAATAAAATAAGGAAGGTAAAGTGAAAGACAGTTATGACTGCATCTCTTTACCAGAAATTAATGCCGTGGCTTGTGCTGTTTATGAATACTTTGGATTTGACGTTCTCTGTGTAAAGCGTACACTCCCTGTAAACTCTCAACTGCAAATAATTGCGACCAATGCAACATTACGGCTGTTTCCCAAATCCAACTCGAATGGATCCGAGTTACTGCAGCAGATCATGTCACGGGACAAGACAGATAAAGAAACGCTGGACGCGTTTAGGTTTTCAAACACCAGGTACAGAACCTTTACCCTACAGTGAGATTGAGTCAATTTGGGAACACGGACTATGAGTGCTGTGCTAGGATCACTTGAAAAAACATCTTAGTATTCATGGCACTTATGCCTTCTTACAAAAAGAAACTGTAAATGGTGTAACATATGACACTTCTGGATTTGAGGTGTTTGGTATGTCTTGGTGGTGTTTGTGTGATTCTGGCTAAGACTTGGTCAACTGTTGTTCTAGGCCCCCGACAGTGCCCAGTGGGAGCGGATCGCAGCAGAGTTTGGCAGGCTGTGGAACTTCCCAAACTGTGTCGGAGCCCTGGATGGCAAGCACGTGGCCATCCAGGCCCCGTCCGGTGCGGGCTCCGACACCTTCAACTACAAGGGGTTCCACAGCACTGTACTCATGGCCAGCTGCGATGCCACTTACAAGTTCACTCTCGTAGATGTTGGGCAGCCGGGGCGGTTTAGTGACGGGGGAGTGTTCAGAGAGTCTGAAATGGGGCGGTCTATGCTGTCGGGGGAACTTGGTCTCCCGCCAGCTGGGCTCCTACCCCAAACAGAAACCAAGCTGCCTTTTGTATTCGTGGGCGATGAGGCGTTCCCCCTGCTCCCTAACCTCATGCGCCCTTTTCCCAGGAGAGAACTGCAGTTACTCTCTCGAGTGTTTAACTACAGACTCTCCAGATAGATTACCAGACGGGCTTGCTCTCATAGCTGACGCATGTTCCCGTGCACGACCCGTGTACATCGGCCAGACTGGCAGATGTGTCAATGATCGTGCACGGGAACATGCGTCAGCTATGAGAGCAAGCCCGTCTGGTAATCTAGCTGTTCCTTGCAGTCGCTGCCCGTGCTCACCAGTTCTGCATGATGTGAAGGTTCTGGCGAAATACAAAGATAAAATATGCCGTGAAATGCACGAGGCGTTTGAGATTAGAGCAAAGGGACATGAATGCGTTAGCGAGCCTTCCCTTGCCCTCTCAGGGAAAGAGTTTGATTTTATCAAGAGGTCTTCTGGATTGATGGGATGAATAGGCATTTTTAACGGCCTATATAATATGTGTTTTTTCCTAAATAAACTTTAGTTGCGAGTGCGCCTCGTCCTGTTTACTCTCGTCTTTGTCCTGTCGTTTTTTGGCGCTGTATATACTAGTACGGCCATCGCCGACCAACCTTGTGCTTTGGCCTCCTCCAGCGAGCTGGTGATGTCACCAATTGCGTCCGCGGTGCTCCTGTGGTGGAGGAACCCCTAGAAGCAGTCTGGCAGAGCCCCGGCCGCCTCAAGGTGGTAGACTAGTCGACGTAGAACCATTCGTTCCATCACTTTGCCGAGGCATGATGTCATTGAGATGGGCCTATAGGAGCTTAGTTGGTTGGTCTTGGGGTTTCCCGCGTTTCAGTAGTGGTACCGTGGTTGCTTCTCTCCACGCTTCTGGTATTTTAGAGGTCCTCCACACATGATTGATTAGAGTCAGCATTGCTGGGACAGCCGACTCGTTAACGTTTCTCAATGCTTGGTTGGTGATTCCGTCTGGGCCTGGGGCCGTACGGTGTCTCGGGAGAGCATCGAGAACGTGCTGCAGTTCGTGCAGGGTGAAGTCTTCGTCTGGCTGCTGCATGGAAGTCGCTGTTGGGTGACGGAACTTGCTCCAACCCTGGGGGGGCGGGCCGGTAGCCGGCAGTGGTGGAACCTCAGTAAATGCATCCGCGAGTCTGTTGATTGAGGGTTCATTGCCACGGCCATTCCAAGTACAGGGTTTTGGGGGATTGGGCGACCTGCTAGTGTTCTCGCCATCCGCCAGGCCCGGCTTCCTCCGGCTGGTTAGTCTAAGGTGGTGCATTTGAAGCGCCATTGTCGGCGTGCTAGTTTTTCACCGTTCCTCCTGAACTTGGCATCCAGTCGCCGGTATGCCAGTACATCTGCCGGATCTCCAGTGGCCCATGACCGTCGCTGGGCGCGACGTCTTTTTGCCCACAGTTCTAGCCATTTGAGGTTGGGGTTGGGACGTGTTGTTGGCACTCTGACTTCGCGGGTGACCTTTTGGAGGACGCGGGAGAGCGTTTCCGGGGTGAAGGATCGTCCTTCTTCCAGCACCTCTTCGAGCAGGGTACGGAAGCGGTCCCAGTCGACGACGCGGCAAGTCTTCAGAGGAGCTTTTGGTGGCCTTCCGATGACAATGGGTAGATGATCACTTCTCCAGCTGTCTGCCTGAGGAGTTGCATTGAGACGTAGGGCGCAAGTCGTGAAAGTCAGATCAATTACGCTTCCCGTCACTCCAGGCCGTACAAATGTCGGATTCCCACTTGTAATATTTCTGAGGTCGAGCCTATCTAGCATTGCCTGTAGCTCTCTACCTCGCCGAGAGCCCTTTCTGTCCCCCCAGGACCGTGAATGGGCATTGAAATCGCCGGCAATTATAACTTCTCCCTTGGTCCGTGCGCGAATGTCCGCGAGTACATGGACGTCCCAAGGTACATTAGGGGCCACGTATGCCAATACGATGGTCAGGTAACGGTCTACGAATTCCAATTTTACTGCCACGAAATCTGCTCCTTCAGTGCAAAGATCGCTGAGGTCTATCTCTATCTGTCGTAGGTTTCGTCGAACTAGGAGGGCTGCTCGCGGTGTCACGCCCGCCACCACAGGCCTGCTGCAGTAAACTACGTGACCCGCAATACGTATGCTGCCGGCTGGCATTCTGGGTTCCAGGAGGGCCACAGCATCGTAGGCGTGGTGTAAAACGTGGTCGCGTAGCTCTGGGAGTTTCGTTCTCAAGCCATTACAGTACCACTGGAGGGCGGAACAGGTGAGAGGCTGGGGGCGGGCTGTAGGTCTTCTACTAGTGTCCCCAATCGTGGATGTCTGTGGATTGGTAGTTAAAGCTTTCTCTTAGAAGGATTGATACCCGAGATTGCTCTTTGGGTCGGGCTTCATTGTTGTATTAAAAAAAAAGAAGAAAATATCTGTACCTCTAGAGGAAAAATGTTAGATTTTTGTATCACTGCAGTCCGTCTCGCCTGTAAGAGTTCAGGGAAACGAGTTTGAAGGTTACTTATACTCGTCTCAGGTATGAATGAATGTTTTTGGTGACGAACGCGCGTAAGTTGCTTGCTGCACTGGTTCCCTCCCGGTTTCACAGTGATCTCACAAGTGAAAGTATCATTTGAAGAAATGTAAGTATGCAACGTGACCATTCCGAATTCACTGTTGCTAGCAGCGTGCAAGCCATGTTAGTTGCTGCCTTAAGAAGAGAAATCCGACACTGGCTTGGTGGAGTTGTTCTTGGTGGTGGTTGATGGTACCTCTCCGAAGAACGTTGGTGGTTGGCACCTTTAGACACTGTGGCCTCAGTAGTGGTTTCTTGTGGTCTTTCGTCTGAATTCTGCCCATTGTTGGTAATGCCTGCTCTTGGCTTGCCTTTTTCCTGGCCCTTTGAAATAGAAGCGTATGTGTCTTGGTTCTGTCCCTGCTTCCCGGTTTCCCCGGCCGCAGACATCTGGGGAAGAGGAGGAAACTCATCGCTGCCCTTTGTTGGGTTCGGAGCGTTCGGCTCTTGTAAGGCGACTTTGGCGGTGCGAAAGTCGACCGCGTGATGTCTAGCATAGTTGCGAGTTTTCCTTTCTTTCCTCCATTTTGGGCAAGATAGAGATTTGGCAGAATGGGCTTCACCGCAGTTTACACACTTCTGTATCTGGATGAGTGCCACTGCAACTGTTGCAGACAGGAGCATTTTTGCAGGATGCCTCGCGATGCCCGTAGCGACAGCATTTGCGGCACTATATAGGGCGTTCTTTGAACAGGGTCACGGAATGACGCACAAGGCCAAGGTAGACAAAATTTGGTTGTGTTGTACCGCCAAAGGAGATCTTCATCGCTGAGCTCTGTCCAAGCCGACGAAGTCTTGCTACCCTATTTTCCGGAGATCTTAAATGCTCCCAGACATCTGCTTCGGACAGCGCGGTGTCCACTTCTGTGATTACGCCTACAGCGTAATGCCGAGAAAGCGGTTCGTAAGCTCTTACTGGAATCCCACATAACTTCTTGCAGTCTAGAAGGGCACGCGTCGTCTGTCCATTCCTTGTATCGACTGCTATGATGTTCAGGCGTCTGTTGTACCTTATTTCTATGATGCACTCTAGGCAGAGTAAGTTTAGAGCATCGGATACTTTTAGAGTGTTCAATGACGTAATTAGAGTGTCTTCAGAAGCTGATACAGAGATAACCGTAAGACCTTCTCTCATTAGGGCGCCTGTGCAAATTGTGCCCGTGCTGTTGCTTGAATTCGAGCTAGGTTTTTTCCACTTTTTTGATTTCTTAGCTGGGGTCCAGCCTTCGTCATCGATGTCGGACATTTCCATATCATTAGGGGGAATTATCGCCCGCCGCTGGGATGTGGTAGCACCCTGATCCTCTAGAGTGGGTCCCACAGCACGATTTCCAGTCAGGCTGTTATTATCAGCTTCTGATGCGGATATTGAGTGACCGCATATGGAGGAAGGCAGACTGTACCTTTCGGTGGTGGCCTTGTGATTCGAATGCAGTGAAGATGACTTGAGGGACATGGCGAGGTCGATTCACTTGCACTGGGAAAGACCCAGTGCGGGGATACCCGCCAGTTGATGACCGGATCAGCGTTCTTGAATGTTGATTCAATTTCTGGCTATTAAGGCAGCTGATAACAATAAATATTCGGTTTCAACTGAACAAGGCTAGAAAAGTGCAGCCTTCTTAGAGACACTTCGTCTTCCTCCGGAGCACGTCGAGCGAAAGCTCCTTTGCAGAACCCCCTGTGTCCTGGGTTCAATCCCCACCCCTACCCGTTTCGATGTTGATGAGCATCGTACCGGCGTGCGGTCGTGTATCACTACCACGGGATGATCGTTAATGGCTAGCGGTAGTACTGTATAGGCTAAATTTCTCATCTACATGCTAAGAGGATCGTCGCCCGTTGAGGCAGACCAAGTTTTAGGCTGTATCAACATAAACGCGACCCAATTATTTTATTTAAATCGTAAATAACAAATAAGAATCGGTAACAGCACGGATGCTAATTATATAAATGTTGCTTCTATATGGGCTAGTTGATTAGACATTGTGATGGTTTGCTGCGCTGCGTAGATACAAGAAAAACGCACTTGATAAAGATTTAAACTAAAGCGGAGAATACACGAAAAACAACATACAGGAATGGCGCAGACTAACAACTGTGTAATTTCTCATCTTTCTCCCCCCCCCACCACCAGACAGCCACAATATGTTTCTCAAAATAGGGTGCACGTAGAGCGAAAGCTTGCGCTGCAGAAGCCAGGATCGTGGGTTCAATCCGCACCCCTGCCCGTGTCGATCGAAATGGTCATCGTACCGGCGTGCGGTCGTGGATCACTACTGCGTGGTGCATGTTAAAGTCCCCAGGCTAGCAGTCATTCTGCACTGGCTAATTTGCTTATCTACAGTGGGTAACAATGTCGCCATGTTCTGGCATGTTCTCCTGCTGTATAAACAACTAACGACCAATTTGTTTGTCAAAATATGATGTGGAGGGAGCAAGATGAGAAAGAAATTCCACAGTTGTTAGTCTGCGCCAGTCATGCACATTGCTTTTCTTCTATCCTCTGTTTTAGTTTAAATTATATCAAGTGCGTTTTTCTTACATTTATGCAGCGCAGCAATCCATCAGAATATTTGTA